GATCATTTTAACATTTTCAACAAATTTAAAATTTAAATAACATTGAATTTAAATTATTTAATTTTTAAATTATATATTTAAACAAAATAATTTAAATTTATTAAATTTAATTTTTACAAAATATTTCAATTATTATTAAATAGAAAAATTATTATCGTTGAACATAAAGAGATCCAGATGTAATGATCACTTCAAATATATTATATTTCTTTAAATTTTATATAATTATTTTATAATGTTTTTATTAAAAAAATTATTGGCTCCTTTTATCTCTAACTCTTACACAGTACTACTAACCACTAGATATTAATTAGGTCAAATTTATATTATTTGAGTCAGGTATATTTAAGATTGGTTAAATGAAGTTGAGTTATAATGGATTAGGTTAGGATGGATTTATTTGGGTCAAGCAAGGTAGGGATGAATTAAATTAGACCAAGATAGGTAGGATCCAATTATAAGAGACCCATTCAAGATAGGTAACAGTGAGATAGATTGAGTAAAGTCAATACAAAGTGGTGTTAGGCTTGGTTGTGCCAAATTCAAGTTATTCATGTCGATTCAGTCTTATTCGAGTCAAACTTGATTGAGTAGAGTTAAGTTAGAACAAGTTACGCTAATAATCTCTCAACCTCAGTTAAGAAGATAACATCAATTAAAATGAGCTTAAGATATTATGATCGAGATTGAATTGAAGAGCATGTATAAAATATATATAAATTTGAGAAAAAAATGTATAAATAATTTCATGATAACCATTTGAGATTGGTTTACTCTACACACTCTACACATAACATAGTCATTACCAAGAAAACGAAGATTCTGATTTCAACATATCCAACAAATAATAAGTGTCTAAATATAAATACGACGTTAAACAAAATAAAGTTTATGCCACCAAGCATTGATCAATACATATAATGATAAATAGAACGAAACCTACAATCAAAATGTTATTCTCCTCTTATTTGATGATTTCCCATCTACCACACTCTTAAATGGTCTCATGGTAAACAAGCCGGCACTGAGGAAGAAGACTGTGATTTGCTCCATCGCGTTGGAAAAACCAGTTGCATACATCTTTGCAATTTTAACTTTTATGGCATCTTCGTCTCGTTGAAGATCACTCTTCCCCTTCACCAAAAAATTTATTTTCTCCTCCAAGTAGCTATCTCAACCTTATGACTCTGGCAGAAAGCTTAATGTGTTTTCCTCTCCACGAACAAGTTTGCTTCCATCTTCCTCAGCACATTAGTTGTCGCCATATGAGCTTTCTCGAATTCGTCCAATTTCTCCAAGGCACGAAGTTTGCCTTCCTCAACCTTCTTCTCACCTTCGAGAGCATAATCTACCTCGCGAGCCTTCTCTCACTCTACACAACAATGGAATTGGCTGTAGTTAACAAATTCTACAAAGTTAGAGCCATCTCTACTCCATTTTGGGGGAGTTTGGAAAGAGTCTCGCCAAAAATATTTCCACCACAACCCTTGGTGGTTTGGGACAAGATGTAACCACGATTGTCTCGAAAGCAGAAGTTGTCTTCCACTTCCGAGTCAGCCATATGTCAAACTCAGTGCGCTCGGACCCCGAGCCAACCTTTTCTATGCGAGGAGGTGCAGAAGGCTCCCTTACTACTGTGTCTTGGAGGACTATTTGGTAGCCATAGCCTCCCGCAAGCGACAACTCATTTCTTTTTTTGATAGGGCCATCTGTCTCTCTGCAACATTGGGAAAATCATGAGAAAATATACACTTAAAATACCAACAATAAATAGGATAGGGAAGCTACTTATGTACACTTTAAGGTCTATAGCTCAATATTCTAACTTAAGAAGCATGGACGTATCAAAAACGGTATTGAACAGTTCGAGCATCATGCAATGCCAGATTCATCTTGTTCTAGGTCACTCAGCTGCTTAGCATATTGGAAACGAAGCTTGGCTATCCAATAACAAGGAAAACCCTCCACTAGAGCCTGGTTATATTTAGGGGCTTGGATTTTAACAAACTTACCCTTAAAATACTTATAGAACGATTGAAATATGGTAAGGAGACCTCGGTCAGGTACTCCACTAATAGAGATTCAACAGGGTCTCTTGGAGGTTCAATAAACAAAGAAATAAACAAATATATTCGATGATGACACAACGCCGAAATGGGTGGAGAGAATGTCAAACGCTTGGATAAAAGCCCAACTATTGGGATGTAACTGGATTAGGGCAACATTTATCATAGTAAAAACTTATTTTTCAAAAGAATCCAAAGGGAGACACAACCCTAATTTGACGAACAAAGTATTGTATACAAAGAAGAACGATTTGGAATCCTCCTCTTGGTCCCTACAAATAGATTCGACTGGGTCATACACTTCTAAAATTAAATCCTTATCATTACCATAACAACTCATAGATTGACTATTTTGGAGATACTTCAAGAGCTTAAGGGAAGTGTAAATAGAGGTTTCATGGAGGATTTCAGCCTTACCCTAGGAATACAACACAACATCACTCATTTCCTTGTTATCTTTACCAGCCATACTCTTTTCGGGATAAACCATAAAAACAAAAGGCACAGACATAAGTAATAACAACCCAAAGACGTAATGGAAAAAAGCACAACACACCTAACATAAAAAGAGTGACCCAAGCACAAGGAGGAGAAAGCACAAAGTGGGAGAAAAGTGAAGTCAAAAGAGCGAGAGTAGAGTGAAGAGAGAAAAATGACAAAGTGCGAAAATAAACATTAGGTGAGGGAGATATAGGGAAGGGCACGTGCGTAGCATGTGCAATAATGTGATTAGATGTGATGTTTTGTCAGTAACAGTGTATGACATACGAGACTAGTGTTTGAGCTTCTAAAAAAGATAAAGATGGTGAAACAATTTGACCATGATGCCAAATTTTGTGTTTGCCTAAAGACCGAATGTTAATGAAATGACAAAGTCAATTGACTTAGTTAAAGCCTCAGTGTTTAGCACTTGAGTATGGGGGTTGTATAGTGTCCATGTCACCCTCCTCGTCAACTGATTGATATATGGGGTTAATTAAGTGTCGAATATCTCTCTTTTAAGGATATAACAAAAGTCTCCCCAAAAATTGTGCATGTTACCCATAGAATCGCTTATAAAATAATAATTAACCCAAGAAATACTCACGTCTAAATGGGAATACACAAGTAAAAAGAGTTTTAGGGTTAAGAGAATTATAAGTTCAGAGATGATTGATTTGAGAGACCTATATGGAGGAGCGACTGAAGGCAATGAATATTGTAGATGAAGGTGGATTATGATGATTATGACAATTTGAGGATTAAAATCAAACATGGTGATAGTTTCTTTTTTCACAAGTATGCTTTCTTTTCCCAATGACCATGACGATTATTTAAGATGGGGTTGATCGTGATTTAGACAAAAAAAAAAAGGAGAACATGGTTAATAATGGTATAATTTTTTTTTAATTTTGAGAATTTTATCAATTTAATTGATAGTTAAACTTAAAAGTAAATGACATTATGTATCATTAACATTTGACCAACAAAATACTACAAAATTTCTTGATATAACATTAATTAATGATACAAAGATACATAAGATTTTGATGTGTTAATAATGTAATATAAAATAAAAAATAAATTATCAAAATTCTTAAATACGATAAGATATTTTATTTAACCATACAAAATCGATTAAGGAATGTTAAATTTGTACTCACTTACACATGTTATAATATTTTTAATTGAAGTGGAATTTTAATACATTCCTTGACATCGAAGTCGAGTAGTCTAATATTAATCTAATAAAGAATTATTCATTTCAATAATCATGAACGAATATCTTAATATCACTATAATTTACTCTTATATATTATCTTAAAAATTGTGGATACCTAATTCAATTTTATAAAATTGGCTAATTAAAGTAAAGTTTATATTTATTTATATATTATAATATTATTAGAGAGATTTTAAAAAAATATTATTTCAAATTTCTTTATAATATATATATATATATATATATATATATATATATATATATTATTTTGAAGGTTAATAAATAATAAAATATTCATCAATTTTTATAACTTTTTTAAAATATACTTTAATCTATAAATATATTAAGTTTTATTTTATTAATAACATGCAAGGAAATATATAAAAGATGAATATTTAAAAAATTAGACACTTTAATTTACTTGTTCGTATTAATTGTGCCTTATTCCTTAGTCTGTTTATAGTGTCTCAAAACATAGTTAAATAAGACGCGTACCCGTTCCTAGACATAATTATTTGGTTTAACATGTAATAAAATATTCTAAATATTGATAACATAAAGGAAAAAAAATTATTAATATCAGTAATTAGTTAGTAGAAACTTAAAGTATAGTTTACATTTTTATATTATTAATTATTTTAAAAATATATATTATCTTTAAATTTTATTATTTTTTATTTTTATATAAATTATTTTTTCTCTGTTTTAGATCCGTGTTAAGAGTTCTTTCTCCGGTCTTCTATCGTATTTTTTTTTCTATTCTCTTTTTCAAAATGTATAATATTATACTAACTGATTTTTCTATTATTTTATTTTTACAAAGATTCTTATTATGTTTTAAAATAAAATAAAAATATATTTAATTATTATTTTAATTTAAGAAATTATGATTAAAACATTATTAATATTTAATATTTATATATATATATATATATAAAGTAAATAAATAAAATACAAAAAAAGTTTCACAGAATCATATCTCATATATAAAATATAAATATATATACAAAAATCCTAGAAAGTTTCTGACAATAATGTAAAAAAAATTATATAATGATATGTAATAATAATAATAATAATAATAATAATAATTAATAATAATAATTTATTAATATAATAATAATAATAAAATTTATATTTTTTATTATTATAATCTCAAACATAAGTTGTAAGATGAATATAGATAAAATTTAGGTTCTGACTGCTCTAGAAAGAAAGCAAAGACAAAGAACAAGCATGCTGTTAAGGGAAAAGTCTTTCCGGTCGTCCCTCGCCGTGCTACAACTTTTTTATCGTTAGATTTATTGCGGCTATATACAATCTTGTAGCCATTTATAAGATTTGGATTTCTCTGTATATATATATATATATACAGAGAAAAGCCACAAATCGCAAGCGAATATATAGCAGATATATACCGAAATCAACTCATATCCACTCTCCTTTTGGCAATAGTATCATATCAGACAAAGATATCGCACCAATCTTTTGCAACTTTTATATCGGTTCCAGCATAAAGTACGGGAGAAATCAAAATGCTATAAAATTATGTAGATTGCAGTGCAAACAAAACAAATCATAAGATCTTCAGGAGAAAGAAACAATAGTTATGGAATCTAGCAAGTTCAGTTTGCTCTTGTTTTACGTAGTTTTTCTTGCTATACTCCCCACTCTTAAGGCTAACGTAGGTCAAGTCGACCATGTCTGGCATAGGCGATCAATGGAAGCAAGGGAAGCTGCAAAGAGGGCTTACAACCCAAACCCCATGAAAGTTACAGCTGAATTCAATGCACACGTAATGAGGTATATATTGGTTGCCAAAATATCTTGTTCTTAATAATCTACGTACCATGCATCATTTAAATTTCTTGTCTCGTTCTTCAGTGCAAGCCTGCATAATTTTGATGGGTATTGAATTATTAATGCTTTTTGTGTTTTTACTAATTGATTATAGATGAATATGAAAAATATATATGTATGGTTTCACAGGGCGTTGAAAGGGTCCAACAGCACGAGAAGGGGCTTGAAGAAAGACGATGGTTCATGCGAGGCGACAAACCCCATTGACAAATGTTGGAGATGCGATAAAAACTGGGAGAAAAACCGGAAGAAGCTAGCAGATTGTGCTCTTGGGTTTGGCCACGGTACAACGGGCGGCAAAGATGGGAAAATCTACGTGGTAGACGACCCTTCCGACAACGACCTTGTGAACCCTAAAAAAGGGACATTGAGACATGCAGCGATTCAGGCAGAGCCACTGTGGATAACTTTTGCCCGAAACATGAACATTGTACTGAAGGCAGAGCTTCTTCTAACGGATAACAAGACGATCGATTCACGTGGTGCCAATGTGCACATTCAAAAAGGTGGTCAAATAACAATGCAATATGTGAAAAACATCATCATTCACGGATTGCACATCCACGACATTAAGAGACGTAGAGGTGGCCTTATACGAGACTCCATGAGCCACTATGGAAATCGCGACATTAGTGATGGCGATGGGCTTTCACTGTTTGGAGCCACAAATGTTTGGATTGATCATGTTTCCATGAGCAATTGCTCAGATGGCCTCATCGATGTCGTTAGTGCATCAACCGCTGTTACCATCTCCAACTGCCATTTTGTCCAACACAACGACGTAATCATATCTCAAATTTTTGTTTTATATATGTGGTGGCGTAAACTAACATTGGTTTTTTTTGTGGTTCAGGTTTTGTTATTCGGTGCCACTAATACCTTCTCAGGAGATAAAATCATGCAAGTAACTTTGGCTTTCAACCACTTCGGAAAAGGATTGGTTCAGAGAATGCCAAGGTGCAGATGGGGCTTCTTTCACATTGTTAACAATGATTACACTCGTTGGCTAATGTACGCCATAGGTGGCAGCCAGCATCCCACCATCATCAGCCAGGGAAACCGTTTTGTCGCCCCAGATGACCGAAATGCAAAAGAAGTATGTAGTGTTACATATTCATACAACAAATTTTCAAAGAAAACATTGTGCCACAAATTTTAATTCTTTCAATTTTTTGCATTAACAACATTGCGCCACATGATATACACAGGTGACAAAAAGGGTACACGCACCTGAAAGTGAGTGGAAGAATTGGAATTGGAGATCAGAGGGTGACATATTGGTGAATGGAGCCTTGTTTGTTGAGTCTGGGAAAAAGGTTAAAGGTCTCAGGACAGACATTAAAGCACAGCCTGGGAAATCCGTAACTAGGCTCACTAAATCTGCAGGTCCTATAAAATGTGTGGTAAACAAGCCCTGCTGAACCAAACATGGAGCAATGGACGCTGGACATAGAGAAGAGTTTGTAATATGTATATATATGTGTAAAAGAATATGATTGTCAGACAATTCAAACAATAAGAACACCCAAAATAATACACGGTGTTTAGACTGTCAACCAATCATTTTTGTATGTAAAAGTCATTTTTGTACGTAAAAAGTCATGTTCATATCAGACCCGAAGCAAATGCTTCTGGGATTTTTAATTTCCTTTACGACGCTTTGATCTTCCTTTTCCCGTAGATTCTAATTAGAGCGATCAGAAATGAAGAAAATAGTAGATAAAAAATGTACAGAGTCAAGAAACAATACAAAGCCAGATTTCTTAAGGCATGGGTGAAGTTCTCAATCCTATTTCTTTCATAGTACACAAAATGTTCATCTTCAAAATGAGTTGGAGACTTTAGAATTCCGTTGCTGGTTATCCTCATTTTGCATACAAATTCCTCCCTTGAATTTGTTTCAAATTGATTGAGAGATACGATTTTTTATGCAAACCAAGGAAAATAATAAAAACTTAATCGTTGGGAAACAATTTTTGTGTGTGTACAATAGCAGAAAAAAAAATTCTAGCTTCCTGCAAACTATCCAATGTAAATGAGGAGTAGAATAAAATCATTGAGAAGCATTGTCTTGCAAAAGAAAGAGTTTTATGAGAAAGGGACGACAATTTATAAAAGTTTCTAAATACTTATATATTTTTAAAAAGAGTTTTTAAAGAGTTACTTATAAATAAAATTAAATATTTTATTATAAATTTTATAATTAAATTATTTAAAATTTGGTCAAAATTGTTTATATAAATAATTTTTTTTATTTTAAGTAATTTTTTTAAAGCAACTTATATACTAGATATGCAATAAAATATTTAATTATTTTCCTCTTGGTAATAATTTTTTTAGAGATGATCTAAATTTTTTTCTCATTTTAATTATTTTTTTAATGAGTGTTAACTATGTTTTATTCATGAGTAGCAATTAATATACACCTAAATTTATCAGATAATCACTTTAACACCCAGAAGACAATAAATAAATCAAAGAAATAATTTTACTTTAAATTTAAAATAAAAAAATACTAGTATTTTTAGTTGATTTTCATCGGAGGGTTTGAGAGAAATGGCCTCATGACTTATAGAACCTTCTTAAAGAATGTTGTTTTTATAAGCTTTACATACTTCATGGAGAATATTTAGATGACATGGATTACATTAACTAGTCTTGTAACATCATATGATGCATTTGTCTGATATATAGTTGATCTAATGATTAGTAGTTGATACATAGTTGTTCTGTTTTTATAAAATTAATCTCCTTTAAACACCTACTCATACATTGTAAATACCTCCTAAATCTGCCATCAACTTGACGAAAATTTGTCAACAAATAATAATATTTTCTTAGTGTCCAACTTATTAGTAAAGTAATTAAGAAAGATCATTATTTCATCCCAGATCCTTCCTTAAAAATAGTCAAATAATAAAACTTACTAATTTGTTTTTCTTTAAAAAAAAAGAATGAGAAATTTGAAGCTTGTAATTATAACTCTTTACCTTTGGGATAACCCTTCTTAAATGGACTTTTTCTTGACACCCCACAACAAATATTCATCAAATAATTAAATGTAAGCCTGTGCAAACTAGGTCAAGGAGGAGAAATTAATCTTTCATTACAACAGATCTTTCAACTCTTACCTCTTATATATATAACAGATCTTTCAACTCTTACCTCTTATATATATATATATATATATATATATATATATATATATATATATATATATATATATATATATATATATATATATATATATATATATATATATATATATATGAACCCAATAGGATTTCAATATATGCTGTTTGATAATGATAAGTCGTAAAATTATTTTTATTAGTATTTTAAGAGGCCTTGAGTGACAAGTAGGGAACAATGTCTACACCCAAAATTATTCTGTTTAATTAGTTTATTGATCTTGAAAGTCAGGTTGATACAGGCTTTTGAAAACCCATGAAAAGCCTAAACAATTTCAGCCCATGAAAAGCCCGTGTACTTGTTTCCAGCATAGGGAGTGCGGCTGATTGGGTCACACGAGGTGGGCTTGAAAAGACAAACTACAAATTATATGAACTAAGATATTAATAAAAAAGAAAATTCCCCACAACCCGATTTTAAATAATAGAAATTATTTGAGGATCCGTTGGTATGGTTCTTCGGTAAAATTAAAAAAAAAAAAAAAATAGTATAAGTCATTTGAGGATAGCACGTTACACAATCGTTTTTCCTTTCCGTAACTTCATCCCAATTTCACATGTCGAACTTGGTTACAAATCTTCTTTCCCTATATATTCTAGAAAAGTATGCATGTAGAAAAGTTATATATATATGTAAGGTTTCGGTTTAACTTATTTTTTAGATAAAACTTGATTAGTCTAATATCACAGTAATGTATTTAAGGTTTTATTTGAGTAGGATTTAATTTCTTTTAGCTAATGAGGACTTTTGGAGATTTATCTTGAAAGAAAAAAAAAAGATAAAAGAAGATAGATTTGTACTTTATGTTAGAGGAACTTAATGTAATAAAGTGACTTGGCCAACAAGATTCTATTGTAAAAATTGATTGAAAATTGGTGACATGTTATACCTTAATTATTTTTGTATAAAACATAATAAATTGGTTTGAGCTTGCATTTGGTGAATTCTATAGCTATATGAATGAATAGATAGATGTAATAAATTAGGTTAGTAAATATTGAGAAATCTCATATTAATTAAATATACGAGAATATAATAGTATGTAGGTGAGTACAATTCTCACTATATCGAATCGATTTTATAGGATTGAGTTATGTATTTTCTCATTTCTAAGATGGTATCAGAGTTAACTCTAGTGATGTTGAGACATTATTCGTTAATGATTGTGGACTAAATCGATCATTATAGGATAATGTCTCAACTGCTAGAGTTGAATTTTATATCATCTTAAAGATTGTGAGATATTCAACTCAACCATAAAAAATTGGTTCGATATGATAAAGACTGTATTTATCTACGTACATGTTACCATATCTCTAATCAATATTTGTAAACTAGGAAAGAGTCATAGAACGTCATTTCCATAGTTTTAAGTAAGAACTCTCAACCTTTTATGATGTGTGGGATCATCTAAAATTCAAACTTTAGGTGAATATCATTGGTTTGTTAATTTTGTTGATGATTGTACAAGAATGACTTGATTGTACTTAATGAAATAAAAAAATGAGGTAAGTATATTATTTTAAAATTTTCATAAAATTGTAAAAACTAAATATAATGCTAAAAATCAAGTTTTAAGTAGCGATAGTGGATAGTATAAAAATTATAAATCCCATCAGTATTTAGAAGATAATAGAATTATTAATCAAATTATTTGTTTCAATACACCTCAATAATGAGAGAAAAAATTGACATTTATTATAAGTTTTTATGCTTCATTAGTTAAGACACACATGTCATAATGTTATTATGTTATTGGGGAGAAACTCTTATTTAGTAGTATAGTTAATAAATCAAATTCCCTCATGTTCTATTGGTTTTAAAACTCCTTTTGAAACACTCCATAATTTAATTATCATTCCAATTATTCCTAATTTACCCCATCATGTATTTCAACGTGTTGTAATTGTTCATCTTCATAAGCATCAATGCAATAAGTTGGATCCAAGGGTCATTCGATTTATTTTTACTGGATATGCTATACATAAAAAGGATATATGTGTTATCATCCTCCTACTCATCATATATGCTTTAGGGAGGGATCCAACAAGGAATTTAAGAAATACATACTCTAAAGTATATAATCCAATCTTTAGAGGATAATATGGATCTAAATGATACAATTTCATATGTTCACCCTCAAGAGATGAAGAAGAAACTAATATTAGAGAATTCATCACAATAATCTTGTACTAAAGATGACATTGAAGCTCCACATGAATCTCTTACAGGGGATAATATTGAAGTCTCACATGAACCTCTTAGAAGAGATAATAATATTGAAGCCCCACAAGAACCTCTTAGTGAAAATAACATTAAAGTGCCACATGAACCTCTACATGGAGATAATATTGAAGTCCCACATGAACCTCTTAATGAAGATGTTACAAATAATTTGTTAACTAGAAAACAATTGTCAAATCATGTCACTAGAAGTATTCATAAACTTACTTATAAACTATAACTTTCTAATAAAGTTAAATATTTTGAGTCACTATCTATCGAATCATAGCCTGTAACAAATGAATAAAATATTTATAAATCTGTTATGTATTATAGTTCTCCCTAACAATTTGTAAGAAGTTTTATTTGATCCACGATGGAAGACCATTATGAATGAGAAAATGGGTTCACTTCAAAAGAATGATACTTGGATATTGGTTAATTGTTTACTAGGAAAGAAACCAGATAGGATGCTTGGTAAATTTATATTATTAAATACAATGTAGACGGTGTAATACAAAACATATAGATTAATTATACGAGAATCACGTTTACCCTTATAGTAAAAAGTAACATTGTTCAAGTATTATTGTCTTTGACAACAAATTTGGATTGACTTTTAAAGCAATTTGATGTAAAAAAATACATTTTTACATGATAAATTAATTAAAAACATGTATATGGAATTCTCACCACATTCTATGGTACCTGAAAAAAAAAATATATATATATATATATATATATATATATATATATATATATATGCAAATTAAAAAAATATTTGTATGGGTTGAGACAATTTTCACAAGCATGGTTTGGAAGGTTTAAAAAATAGCATTTGGATATAATCGGAGTAATTTAGATAATACTTTATTTTTGAAGGAATAAGAAGGTAAAATAATTGCACTTATTGTATATATGAATTATATGATTATTATAAGAAATAATTCAAAAGAAATTAAAGCATTACAAGAGTATTTATCAAAAGACTTTGAAATGAAGGACCTTAGTGCTTTGAAATATTGTCTTGGGATTAAAGTATCTAGATCCAAGAAAGGGATTTTTTTTGTCTCAAAGAAAACATGCCTTAAACTTGTTGTAAAAAATAGGTAGGTTAGTTTATCAGCCAACAAATACACCAATGGAAGAAGGTTTAAAGTTATCTACTACGCCAGATGAAGTCCAAGTTCATAAATAAAGATACCAAAGACTTGTAGAGATATTGATGTACTTAGCACACACAAAACTAGATCTTGTCTATGCATTAAGTGTCGTTAGTCAATTTAGGCATAATCCAAGATAACAAAATATGAATACAATTATGTATATTTTAAGATATGTAAGTCAATAACTAGAAAATGACTATTATTCATAACAAATACAAATCATCAACAAATAGATGTCTATACTGATCTTGATTGAGTTGGTGGTAATCTTGTTACATGGAAGCAAAGAAGATGTGGTTTCTCGCTCAAGTGCAGCAACTAAGTTTAGATGGTTGACACTTAGAATTTGTGAAGGTTTATTACTAAGATTCCTTTTGCAAGATCTTGAATACTCATCCACACAACTTATTAAACTATATTATGATAATAAAGTTGCATGTGATATTGTCCATAAACCAATACAACATATCGAATAAAACACATTGAAATTGATAGAGTTTAATTAAGAAAAAGTTAGAAGAGAAAATTATAGAGTTGTCTATGATTCACTTAGAAAATTAGTTAGCTAATACCTTAACAAAGGTTGTCTCCAATCAATATTCTCAAAATATCTTGTCATATTGGGTATAAGCACCAACTTGAGGGAGAGTGTTGAGATTCCTTTTTTTTATTCTTTTTATACAATATTATTGTATAAATTGTATATTATTTGATTAGGATTTTGTATAATTGTAAATATTTTAGTTTCCTAATATCATAATTAGGTATACATATTTTATATCTTATAAATAGGTTGTACACAATTTATTTCATATAGGAGAATGAATATATTTCAATTTATATTTTTCAAGTTGATATCAAAGTCAACTTTAACAATGTTAAGACATTATCCAGTTAGTAGTTATGAATTAAATTATTCTTTATCATATCATTATTTGACAATTCATCCTTGATATGAAGGAGTGTGATGAAAAAAATAATCTTCAATATAAGGGGTGTGATAAAAAATCATTCTTGATATGATGGGCTATTTTGAGAAATCTCACGTCGATATGTAAAATTTGATATTTACATAATTTTTGTTCAAGTAAGAGTGAGTTATTTAAATGATAAGACTTCCAAAATAAGAAAAGTAGTCTTAAGTTTATTTTTTCTCAAGTGAAAAATGTTCAATTTAAAGCGATTTGACTCTTACATTTTGATTTTAGTGAGATATTAATTGTTCAAGTCACAATACATTCGTTTAAACAAAAATATACTAGAAAATAAAGGAAAATTTAAAAAGATATTTTATTCAAGCACTATATATATATATATATATATATATATATATATATATATATATATATATATATATATATATATATTGAAAGGAAAATTTAAGAGTATTAATTATAAAAGATGAATATTACATTATAGTAAAGTAAGTATTAAGTATGGTTAATGCAAGGAGGAGGTGAATGTAATAAAAAATTTTAAGTATATTATTGGACTTATATGAGAGTATGTGAAAATTTTAATTATTCTCGTAATATACACTTAGAGAAGTTATAATGTGAAAGATATTATGTTTGAGTTTAAAATTCATTACTTTATCTTCTAGAAGTCAAGTATCTAAGTTTTGTAGTGAACATGTATGGACGTATTACTATAGACATTTAATGTTCAAATGGAATGATGTTGCGTGTGAAATTGATTTATTATTGTGACAATTTTTTTCTTATTATTATTATTTGTA